GGGGGGCTGGCTAACAAGCAGTTCAATTTAGGAGCCCAGGCCCTCTGGTGCAGGGGGGCTGGGCACACACACAGTTCGGGAGGCCAGGCCCTCTGGTGCAGGGGGGCTGGCTAAATAAGCAGTTCAATTTAGGAGCCCAGGCCCTCTGGTGCAGGGGGGCTGGGCACACACACAGTTCTGGGGGCCAGGCCCTCTGGTGCAGGGGGGCTGGGCGTACACACAGTTCAGGAGGCCAGGCCCTCTGGTGCAGGGGGGCTGGCTAAATAAGCAGTTCAGGAGGCCAGGCCCTCTGGTGCAGGGGGGCTGGCTAAATAAGCAGTTCAGGAGGCCAGGCCCTCTGGTGCAGGGGGGCTGGGCGAACACACAGTTCTGGAGGCCAGGCCCTCTGGTGCAGGGGGGCTGGCTAACAAGCAGTTCAATTTAGGAGCCCAGGCCCTCTGGTGCAAGGGGGCTGGGCACACACACAGTTCTGGGGGCCAGGCCCTCTGGTGCAGGGGGGCTGGGCGTACACACAGTTCAGGAGGCCAGGCCCTCTGGTGCAGGGGGGCTGGCTAAATAAGCAGTTCAGGAGGCCAGGCCCTCTGGTGCAGGGGGGGCTGGCTAAATAAGCCTCACTCCGGGTAAGCTCTGACTGCGAGACCAGAGCGCTGGGGGAGGGGGAAGCCTGCCACCCGGGTGTGGGGTGGCAGGGGGGAACGCAGGCCCACCCACTCCACTGCGTTCCAGCCCGGGGCCCTAACAGCGGTTACTGCCGCTGCCGGTCAGTGGGGTATCCTGACCGAAACACACTGACATGGGTTCGCATGTCTCGACAGCCTGACCGGGGTCGGCTTCCCCCGGGCTACTTCCGATTTCCCCCTCAGGGCCTACCTCGTCCGCGGCACCGGGCAGGGTCCAGTCCACCAGCATAGGCTCCTCCCGGCCGGGGCTTGGTGGCAGGTCCGGCAGCTCCGTCGGGAAGTCCGGCCAGTTGTCCTCGGGCGGTTCCTCCGGGTAACAGCAGGGCCGAAGGGGTTCTGGTGCAGGCTCACCTTCGGGGTCGCTGTGGGGGGGTTCCAAGGGCTCCCCCCAATGACGGGAACGGACGGGCTCCGGCGGCTCTTCCTCGTAGTGAGCCCGGGGCAGCTCCGGCCAGCTAGGCGAATATCCCCGGGCCTCAGAGGTATCCTGGTCGGGAGCTCTTGGCCGCACGTCTGCTCCCTGCGGTGGCCGGCGCCTGACTGAGCTCTGGCTGCCAGGCTTTATACTTCCTGTCCCGCCCCTTGACTTCCGGGGGGCGGGGACAGGTGGTGGTGGCTCCGCCCACTCAGGTGTCTGCTCCAGTGCTCCCTCCTCTGGGCAGGAGGGGAGCCACACCGACTCACTACACATACCCAGAAGGCTTTGCCTTATGTTAGAGACTGATGAAGCATACGGTATGGGGTTTTGGAAGTTAGAACTTAAAAATAAATTTCAATGGACTTATTTCTTCCATGAAACTTTTACACGTGCTTGAGAAAAATTAATTCTTCCCAGGATTCAGCATTCCAAGTTAATTTTTATATGCAGATGACAATCAGTTCCACATTTCAGCTTCCAAGTTTTTCAATCCCAAATTGAACGCTCTGATATAGAGCAGTGGTTCTCAACCAGGAGTCCGGGGAGCCTCAGAAAGAAAAAGGTTGAGAACCCCTGTGGCAGAGAATGCCCTCGCTAGAGAACATCATTTTAGACTCAAGCTGAAAAGTCCTGTTGATTGATTGTATCTGTTACAGTGGATTGTGTGACTAAATAGCTATGTTTTTTCATAGTATAAAATTCTATGAGGTAGGCTGGAAGGGACCTCAAATGGTCATCTAGAGTCTGGGGCCCCCTGGGGGGCTGGGAGCAGGTTTCAGGGGATCCTCGAAGCATGGCTAGTGTTAGACTAGCTGGGGCCCAGAGGAGAAAGCCAAAGCCCCACCACATGGGGTTGAAGTCCAGGGCCCTGAGCCCTGCCACCAGAGGCTGAAGCCGAAGCCTGACCAATGTAGCTTCATGGGGGCCCCTGTCGTTAGGGCAGGGCAATTGTCTGGGGTCCCATGCCCTGTGGCATGGGACCCCAGACAATTGCCCTGCCCTAACGACAGCCCTGGCTTTTATATGCAGAAAAATAGTTACTGTGGCACAGGTGGGCCGTGGAGAGTTTTTATAGCGTGGGGGGGCTCAAAAAGAAAAAAGTTGAGAACCCCTGATATAGAGGAACACAAAATGCTATAGAGATGTGATCATAATTGTTAAGCATTTGGTGGGCAGAATGGAAAGCATGGAGAGGAGCAGACACTACCCTTTAGTATGCTTTTGAATTCTGAGTTTGCTAGGAAAGTTGAATTTATGCCTAAATTCTTAGGGCAAGCACCTAAACAGGGATAACAGGATTACAACAATTAGCTCTTAAAAACATCCACTTGCTATATTATATACAATCTTTGTAATAAATAGCTTAATTTTGGTACCAAGCTATGCAGCCACCACCTTCGTTATACCCAACAAAATCCTAGATTTATAAATGCAGAATAGCAGCAAAAAGGTTTGTCTGTCTTCTGTTGGGGAAGTAGGTAGCATGGCAATTGTGATTCTGAGAGAGAACAGGTTGTTTGAAATGTTTGTGATGCACAGGAGTCCTGCTTGCCATGGAGAAGATCAGTTACAGATGTGACTAGAGTGCTCAGCACCTTACAGGATCCACCTGTACACGTTGGGAATTAGAAAAACGAGTATGATGAATGGCAACATTACCTCTGCAGTGATGCATGCCCCAACCTAATACCCCACTTAGCTACCAAACCTTAGGACAAACCAGACCACATAAGCCTTCTGTTTCCCCAGTTTGGCTGCTCCTCCCCATAAAGTAAACCTTGATTTAGCAGGGCTGGATAGGACTCTCTCTTTGGAGTCCTATCCAACATTGCTATACCTGGCATAGGAATAAGGCCAAGTGGGTGACAAGTTATACCAAATTGCTGCAGTTCTACTCCTCTGCCACACTGCCTAAAATCCCTGAGGATATTCTACCAGTTTTGGAGAAGACTGCTATGATTTTGGTAACATTCCTGCACATTTTCAGGTCCACATTGCATTTCCTCCAGTGCATACTACAGGGTTTGTTGCTGTTGATGTGGCATTTGACAGTTCTTTTTAATGATATGTTTGGTCCTCTCCCTTTATTCCCTCTTGGGTCATATAGGAAGCAGAGCTCTTAAGGAGCTTGCACGGTCTCCTGTTTGTTCTGTTATTTAGGGTTGGATCCCTGATTGCAGAGCACCTTTTAGTTTTATAGTCAGTCCTGCTTGGAGCCCTTTTTTCTGAAGTGAACCTCGATACAAAGACATGATATAAATGGATTGTAAGTGGCATTTAGCTATCTTCTGTCTCTCCCTTTCTTTAAATGACTGCAGGGTTCTGTCTTTCCAATACTTCCACAGAGCAGAGGAGCCCTACCTAATTTCTTTTCCTAATTTTAGGGACTTACTGGCTGACTAAGGGCTGTAGTGTGTTTGAAATTCAGTTAAATTAGGAAAGGAAAATTGTTTCCCATGGTAAAGGAAAAGATCTCAAACTTGATTTTTCAGAAGTGCTGAGTACCCGCAACTTCCACTGAAGATCATGAAAGCTGAAGGTGTTCAGCACATCTGACAATCATTCTAGTAGTTTGTTTTACACCCACTTTCATTGCCCACCCAATGATGTAAATGTTAGCTTACCTGATTAGGAAACAGCACTGGCTGTGAAGCAGTCAACCCCACCCTGGTTAGTAGTTACCATTAGGCACCATCTACTCCAGCTATAACTAATTTAATGAGTCACAGATGCAGTTATAAGTGTTCATCAAAGAAGAAATGAAAATCATTTTACTCTTTATTTAAAAAATACTATACTGAGCTCTACTTCTTGTAAGAGCTTTGGAGAGATAGGACTCTCTGAGAACCAACTTAAGTATAGCCTTGGAATGAAAGTTCTGAATTTTGGTGGTAGTCAGCATTCCACTAAGCTTTACACCTCACCTCTTTAGTTTATTTTTCTTCTGTTGATAAACCATTTGTTCAGTGCTCCTTAGAACAGTCTGGCCTTTTCACATTTCTCTCCTGGTAACTTGGCTAGTGATAGTGGAAAACCAAAATGTTTAGCTTTGTTCTCCTTTGCTTTTTATCAACAGCTGGTCCTAATCCTGCCAATGGTTATGTGGAATCCTTTACATACATATGCATTATCGTTTAATTTAGTGAGACTCCTCCATGTGTGTAAAGTTATTCACATGAATACATTTTTGGCAGGATCAGGATCTTAGTTTGGGAAAACAATGGGGGTTTGTTGGTTTGTTTTAGTTTCATGTCTGTCTCTGTTTCTGGACCAGGGATGTGCTAAAGGGACCATCTTCTAGCCAAAGCATTTCAGGAACTGATCTAAAATGAAAATATGAAGCATGAAAATGGATCCTGTGAAATGAGTTCTATAATGCTTAGGCTTTACAATAGCAAAGCTATCTTTCAGTTATGCCAGAAATAATACACAAAAAGGACAGCACCGCCCCATTGAACTAGCTTGCACAAAGTCCACTAAAAGGCAAAACTGTAAAGTTAAAGGCTTTTTCTCTCTTTGTTTTTAAATTGGGACTGCTAAACTAAGCTCAACTTTGCAGTTAAAATGAAATGGCTTAATCCTACACCACATGAAAGGAAAATGTCAGCAATTAAGTCAGATGAGAAAGCTTTGTTCGTGAAGGAATGCATGGCTGGAACTTGCCCTCAAAGGCTTTACAAGGAAAACAGTCATTTATTTAGGCCATCTCTTCACAAAACACAAAAGAAATAAACTGATAATGGATTGGCCCTTCAGGGGGACCAAAGACGTTTTTAAAAAAATGCTGTGGCCTACCCTCCTCCTCCTAAGTATCAAACTGCCTCAGATGTAACCTTCCAGTAACCTTGCTAGAAGGCACTACAGTATGATTCACTAGGTTACCCCTATTCTTTTCTTTTCAGGCTCCTGCTCAGATGGCTATTGGGAATGTCAGAACGGCAAGTGTTACAGACCAGAACAAAGCTGCGATTTTGTAGATGACTGCGGGGATAATACCGATGAGAATGAATGCGGTACTTCCTGCACATTTGAGAAAGGCAGATGTGGCTGGCAAAATTCCCTAGCTGACAACTTTGACTGGGTTCTGGGAGTCGGCTCGCCTCAAAGTCTCAGACCTCCCAGGGACCACACACTTGGAAATGGAATTGGTATGTTATCAATTCACAAACAAGGATATAATCCTATTCATTAAGCTTCTCATGTGTTCCCCGTGAGACAACAGAAGGGTTCTAAATATCTAATTAGGGTGTCATTATTAATAAATGAAACATATAATTGGTTATCAAAACATAATAGTAATTACTGTTCTACGATGCCTGTAGGTCAGAAAACTTCGATTCTCAGTTGCCCTTTCTCTAAATAATACTGCATGTGATGAGCAAGTCATTATTTTACTTGGCAAGAGAGTGACATTTGATCTGGACACAGATTTTAAGGATGAGTTAACTAGGCTGAGAGATCCATTAGGATCCACTCCACCAGAGTCAGATCTCATATCCAGAAAGCTCTCGTTCATGTCAGGCACATAATGCTGGAACATTCAGAACTTTGTTCTGTACTGACAGTGGTCCGTTGGTACTATTAGAATATACTGTTGAGAATGGGTGGAATTATCTAATATATTGAAGAGATTTTCAAAAATGCAGTTAGGCTTTCAGCTCTTATTGAAAGTTAGTTGGAGCAGAGCCCATATATGCCCTCATGCCTTAGAGAAATCTCTCTCTAAAATGTTAAATCATCTCTAAAGAGTGTGTGCTAAGCAGGGAGGAACAAAGCTGTTTGGGGAAATAAGAACTGCCCCAAAATTCCTCCCTGGACTATAGCCAGTGTGGCTGCAGCTCTCACCACATCTTCCAGAAAACCTTCCATAAGCTCTCATGTCTACCTGCTTTTGCTCAAGAACACCCAAGCACATATTCTTTCCCAATATCCATTGAGCAGACTTTAGCTTCACCTCCTACCTTTGAAGTTCCCATTACCGAGCCACAGAGCTTCCCTTAGGTAAACCCAAAAATGATCCTGAATTCAAATCTTCCACCTTCTAGAGTGCACAGAGGTCATGAGACTTGAATTCAGCAGTTGCCAGAAGGAATCACTCGGTTGGATTATGTGAAGGACTATAGGAGGAATATGTATTGAATACAAGAAGGCCTGAGTTTACTGGATGATTGTAGGTAGAAAAGGAGGTAGGGGCTTGTGGAAGCTTGTATGAATGTTATAGAATAATTACATGAAACTATTTGTACATCTAGTGCCAAAAATTAGACATGGTCTAAGTGGCCTACCCTCCACTGATGACATGAGTAGGAAGCAGTGCAGAAGAAATGGAGAGGGCCAGAGAATTTGTTCTTCTCTTTCTTTTGGCTTTTTAAAACTCATAAGAACAGCCATACAGGGTCAGACCAAAGGTCCATCTAGCCCAGCATCCTGTCTTCCAACAGTGGCCAATGCCCGGTGCCCCCAAACAGAGGCTAGGGACATCATCCCAGGGAAAACATGTTGCTGGTGTTCAATTTTTAACATCTGCCTGATCTCCTATAGAAATAAATATTTTTCCCACCATAATATTATGGCAAACATCTATAATGCAAGTGAGCCTCAGAAAAGTTGAAGTCAGTTCTAAATGATGAAACCACCTCACTCAAATGGATTTGTATCCCTAATTCAAATATAAAATGCAATATTTTATGCAGTTATAAATTGATCAACAATGTACTGTTTATGCTATGATTACGTTTATTTGAATTCCAACTATATTGTTAGCATCATAGCAAAAAAAAGATTGAATTTGAAATCTTGCTGTGTTCATTATGCTTTGTGATTGAAATATCTATCTGATTGGTTTTCATCATGAGAGAGAAATGCAGAACTCAAGTGCCACCTCATCTCCTGAAATGTTATTTAAGTATCAGTATTTATTTGGGATCTTTTAGGGACTTAATTTGAAATGCAGGATAATACTTTTGTACTGAGGAATACAGATGGTCTGAACCAGTCTGTTTCAGTATGAATATCTATAGATCCACACAGATGCAAAGGACTTGAGATTGGTTGGTCCCTTTGCCTACCAAAGCTAGCTTTGAGCTGGTGTGACCTGCTATTTGGAGACTATAGAAGACTCACCCTCAGATTTATCAGTGTTGCATGATGTGACATGCTTACAGAATTGCCATCTGTTAGAAATGGTTCCTTCAGGAATTATGACCTTGCCAGTAGCTATTCTACTTTAAAATGAGGCAACTATTGGCAGCCCACGGATAAAGCTCAATAAAGACATATGGAGCCAGATTCTTGGCCAGCATGAGAGCTAGCAGAAGGGTTTATGCCTGCTTATTCTGGTAGAAATGACACTGGAGGGCAAGATTGCTGCATTGGAAAACATCTGCAACTCTGCTATTTAACATGGCCTGAAAAGCACATAGTGCTCTTGGAAAAGAGGATGTGGCCAGGATGGCTAAAAAACATGTCAGTTCCCCATTTCTCCTTAGAGACTGCTTCCAGCAGAATTTCTGTGTAGCCCCAGTGAAAAGTTAACTTGTTCCCACCGACTTCCTAGTGTAACATGGGCAGAGGAAAAAGCACAGCCCATCTCCCACTCTTATTTGCGTGCAATGGATTTGAATGATACAGGATGTGCATTAGGAGGTATGCTTTATATTCTCTGCATTAGTTCTGCTGAGTTTTTAAAGACTAAAACAGTTCTTCATAACATGTAACTCTTGATTCTAGGAGCATTCCTATATCTTGAAGCTACACCAATAGGCCTAAGAGGTGAAAAAGCCCATGTGAAGAGCTCCAGGTGGAAAGAGTCGGGCACAGCTTGTATGATGAGTTTTTGGTACTACAAGTCTTCAAAAGCCACAGGACACATTCAGGTTCTCATTAAGGTAATGATCAAATAATCTTTCTTTTCTATTTGAATATGCTGATACTTATACTGTTTGTAAGAATGTGTGGTTCCAGCTGAGAATGATTCTACACACCTTCCACTGGCTCAGCTGGTGAGAGGCTTCTCTTCAGTTCTTCTGTTGTTTGTGGATCAATGGGGACTCACTGTCCATGACTCCCAGACCCAGTTTATCCCAGCATTGTGCCTTTCATACAGAACCATAAACTGTATGCTAATCTCTTTAACATGCTTCACAAAACCACTCTTCTGACCCAAAATGTCTCCCCTAAAAAGCCATAGAGAATGTTTAGAAACCTTCTCCCCACTACTATGAAAGCCACATAAATAGAATTTACCTCTTACACCAAAAGGTCTCAATAATTCATTAAACAGGTCTCCCTCTCTTTCACTTTGCCTCTGAGTTCACTGTCCCTAATGCTGCTTTTCTTTTGATATATCAAACCTCTGTCGTCTTTGATACTTTCCATGTCAGAGCAATTTTAACTTTTTATTTGATTCCCTTTTCATTGATAGCCATGTGTAGCCTTGTGGATCTGATGTGTTGACATCCATGAATAGAATGCATTCAGCAGCCAGCACAACGAAAGAGAAAATGTAAAAAGTATGCCTTGGTTGGCATATTTCTTTCTATTTACACATATGCAAGCACATGCGCATGCATGCACACACACACAAAATAAACAATGACTTTAGTTTTAGAAATGGCATTTATTTTCACAAGTTGGGGGATGTTGTCATAACACATAAGTGCTGCAACCAAAAGTTTATTGAATAAAAGTCATCCAATAACAAATAAAGACTGATGCCCTTCCTGCAGCTTGCTGTTATATTTATTGCTATGGAAGAGATGTATTAAAGCGAAAACGCAAGTTGACAGCCAAAATGCTGATTATAAACAAAATATAGAAAAATATCTTTGATGCTATATAAACACATATTTCAACTCTTTGTAGATTATAAGCCACTAAAAGTATTTCACTACCATGAATCCATGTAGTTCTACTTATAAGTGCAATCACAAATCACCCCATGTGTGTGTGTGTGCGCACATGCAGTATATTAGTAATAAAAATACAATTATAAATCAATTGTGCCATATATTTGCCATCTAGCTGTTACGATCTCTCCCTGCAGTATGCCTAATAAAGATCAGGACAGAATTCATTTTGGGGAACTTCATGACAACTCTGATTTCCAATGAACATGTTATCTTAACTCTTTATTTTAAATTACATCCTGCCCTTGAAAATAATCTACAGCAAATTCTTTCCCTGATAACCTGCGTATTATACGAATGATTCAAATCCCTGAAAGTTAAAACACTTCAGTGGTCTTTAACATCTGAACATATGACCCAGAGTAAGTCTGTCTGAACTAAACAAAACAATGGGCCTTTGGCAGTCATTAGCAGATGTTTTTTTTCTTGGATTAGTCCAAACACATACAAGTAAGAGTTGACTGATCTTCAACTAGCTGTTTAGTTTAATGGATCATGAGAAATATTTATACAGCTATTTTCCAGAAGAGATCTAATCCATAAATCAAACAGCTAGGTGAAGACTGGTAATTCCGATTATAATTATTGATGTGTTTCTAAAATTATTCTTCAATGGTAATCCAGTCATAGATAAAGGCAGAAAGATCCTGGTGTTTAGAATGAATGAAGTACAATGGCAAACACTTATTTCAAGTCAGTGTTTGCTTTGTGTTCTAATCTTTTTAAGTGATTCAAAGATATAATCTGTGACACCTAAATACTATAGTGATTAGCAACTTAGAAATGCTTAATAATTAATATTCTTATGTACAAATGACTAACCTGGGTGACAAGTAAATAAGGAATTGTATTCTGTATATACCCACTGTGATATCAATGTTGATTGCCTAAAGTAACTATAACTATAAATACACTACTGTATGGAGGATTTTGCTAGAAGTGCAGATGGCTATTTATTATATGTATATCCCACTTTGATTACATAGAATGCATTCAAGAGGAAAAACAAAAGCAGATTCTTCTACTGATCTTCCAATGGCCCCAATCCTGCTAAGTGACCTATGCAGGTGGACTCTGCAGGGATTGGAGCCAAAGAGGTTTTCCTTTTGAAATAACACAACATTCTGCAATTTTCTCTTTAAATACTGTGATACAGCATGGCCAGAGGGCAGCCGGAGAGGGTTAGAAGGGAGCCTTATTCCCTGTAGAGGGAAGAAAGTGTGCTATAGATTAATTAGAGCACCTGAAGCCAATTAGAGCACCTGAAGTCTGTCGCCTGATAAAAAAACCCTGCTTCAGTCAGACAGGGGAAGGAGTTGGAGCAGAGAGGATTGGTGTTGGAACAGAGAACAGTTTGGAGGGAAGCAGAGGGAAATTTGGAGAAGTGCTGCGGTGGGCTAAGAAGACCAAGACCCTAGGTAAAGGGACTCCTGGCTTGTGCAGAGGGAGGGTAGGAAGCCCCCCACAAGCTGAAGGGCAGGAGAGGAAAGTAGCCCAGGGGAAGGAACCGCTAGTTCAAGTGGTTTACCGCTATTCTTAGGGCCCCTGGGCTGGGACCCGGAGTAGAGGGCGGGCCCGGGTCCCTCCCTCTCCACTCCCCTCCTCTAGGACACTAATGAGGCAGTTAATATCCCAGTTCAGGGGCAAGAAACGGTGCCCTGAACACCCCCCCCCCCAAGAAGAGAAAGCGTGAGACCCATCATAGTACTGCCGGCAATTTGCCACAATACTGAACACTTGATTTTTGTTCTACCTCTTTTCTTGTGACTGAGCAGCTGGTGCTCGTTAAAGAGATGTAATGTATACAAATTAAATGACTACTTTAACAGTAGGTGGAGAGGGTTGGTAAATGTTGTGTTCATTGTTTTTAGAGTTTGAAATGCAGTTATTTTACATTTGAGCTCAGAAACAGAAGGAAGGTCAGCCTTACCCACATGAAAAAAACAGCACTTTGGGGGAGTTCTTAGATGCTCTTTACCTGAAGTGCTCTACTTATGTTTGGAGCATGCTGTCTTTCTTAAAGGTATTTTTACTATCACTGTTACCTTAAGCCATACACTAGCATAAAATATCTGATTCGATTTAGACACACAATTGCTTTTGAAACCATCCCAGTACTATTTAAAATGAGTTTGGAGTCCATGAAACCAACCTCATTTGCTCTAGGGTTTTTTAAAGGAAGTAACCGTACTCTGAAGAACTAACTAGGAAATTCAAAAACCTATAAAAAAAATCCCTTTTTCTACGTTTTAGAGTAATTTCTGTAGTAACCACTTGGTTTCAAAACTATTCAATTAAGTCATTCTCTCCCTTACCTCCCTTTTTTAATTAAACTAACGTAAACCATATAGTCATTGCATAAATGCTTGTAGGCTATTTTTAAACCATCCCACCCTTCTATGAGCTGCTGTCTTTTTTCATAATTAATGGCTGCATAATGTGAGCAAGTTAAAGACAGTCTGAGTGACATAAATTTGAGTGAGAACATTACTAGCCCAGTTCTCTGTCCTATAACAAAGTCATGTATTAGAAATGGACAAAGAAGAAAAAAAAATCACATTGTGGCTGGAGTCTCCCAATTCTTCTACAGGATATTAGTCTTGTCCTTCCATTGCTTTGCATATACAAATCCCAACAGCAGTGCTGTAGTTTGAATTTCTACTTAGCAGTATCCAGTCTCACATAAGGACTGAAGTCTGATCAGCCAGTACATTGTCTATGAGAAGACATAGAGGAGTTCCCCATTTTGTTTCAATCTATTTTAACTACTGGGCTAGAGGAGTTATTCCTGATTCAGTGGCATTAGCCCCAGACTTATATTAGTGTGAGAGCAGATCAAGCCTATAGTATCCTTGTGATATGTATAGATGATTTATGTTAGCATTAATAGGGGTTATGAACCTTCAGGAAAAGAAGCAAATTATTTGTGTTATTCCTAAAGTATTATCTTAGATAATGAGTTCAACATCACATCTGCTGTGGGACTTCTTCATAGAGAACATTGTATTGCTGTCAAGCATAATGAGACTTGTTGTTGGGACTCACAGTTAAGGGTGTTGCAGAAAATTTCTGTGAAAATGTATTTGAATATATTGGGTTTTGGTTTAATGCTCATATTATTATTAACATAAATCTGTGTAGAATAAGAATTATCTCATTGAAATGACACTGATGGACAGTTCAACTAGTTTTAGAAATACTGTGTGCTGCAAATCAAAATCCTCACCACTTATGCAAATGAAAGACATTGACATTATAGCTGTGTTTGAAGACTGCATTATCTATCTTGCCATCCATCTAATTTGAGACTGTGAAGTGTTCAGCTGCAGTGCAGCAACCACAACATGCAAATAGATTATTTCCAGGCTGAATTTGAGTGCTACTAATCAGAACAACACTGTTGCTTTAAGACATGTCTAAAATGATCTGTGTATGGTTGCAGTAGAATTGGATTAAATGTAAGAGAAGCTGACATTCTGAGACTAAAGTGTAGGAAGAAAACTGAAAAATCCCACGCCCAATTTTTTGTACTGCTTTCCCACTCAACACCCAAATATTGATTTATTTTAAAACATGGAGAACATGGGTTCTCTGTTATTATGTAATACGTTTACAACAGAGCTAGAGAAGCCATTTTCAAATTGAAGAAAAACCCAACAATTTTATCTCTGCTTATTTTTGAATAACTGTTTCCAATACTGTTTAAGTTGTCTTTGCCATAGGAAGAAAAAAAATTGGGCATCACAATGGAAGAGAAACTACAAATCAAAGGGTCATGTCATTTGCTGCAATGAGTTTTCAGATGCCAATCTTAATTGCATTGAGTATTAGCATAATGTAGTTTAAAGGTTAATTTAGGGTCTGAGCAAGGCTTTTGGGGCCTCTTCAATGAGTTTGGATCAGTTCCCTTAGAGCAATAGAGAAATGTGCAAGGAAGATAAATAGCCATTAGCAGCTACCTCCATTTACTATGACAAAGC